AAAAAGATGGGATTTAGGCTCGGAATGTGATAGAAGGAGGGAATAGAAGACGATGAGAACCGTTCTTCATCAATTTAAATGTTCCTTCTCGATATGTTCTTTTCCTTCGGCTCCTTTTGAGAAACCTTCGGCCGCTGTGAGGTTCTGTTTGAGTTTTACATTAAAAATACAATGATACTACAACGGCTAGTTTGGGGTCCCTCTCATTAGAGAACCCCATGTTGAAATACATTCGCTCCACGCGCAAACAGGAACACAAACTTGGTGCTGGATGCCTCCCGCGCCGCCCACTTGCCCGAGATTGGGAAGGCCCCACAAGCCGCAGGGATGGGAACCAGATGGCACGAAGATGGTTTCTCCGGTGTGGATTTCCCCATGATTTCCCATGGCTTCCCAGAATTTTCTTCCCTAAAGGGAACCTTGACGTGGCGCAGGGAGCTGACAGAGGGAACTAGCAGCAAGGCATGCCCTGTAGGGATCTGTAGGCCATACAGGAATGTCTCAGTGTGAAGAACCTGGAACCAACTTGCCCACTGGTCTCACTGTCCTCAGTTTGGCACTGGCTTCTTGAGCGATCCTGTGGGCATTCAAGCGAAGCTGAAAGAAGCTGGGGTGAGGCTTGTCGCTATCTCAGATACCACTGAATACAGCTAGAATGCTTCTAGATTTCTAGATGTGCAGGACAGCTGTGCTGACCTGCTTGATGCATCTAGAAGCGTCAGGAGCTGTAGATGTAAAGAGTACGAGTTGTTCAATTCCTCCAAGGTGCCAACCGCTGCCATTCTTCCGGGCACCTTGGAGAAAACCTCGCCAAAACTTCCCTCAAACGTGGGGAATCCAAAGCTACTAGTAGCTCCTGGCATTACTACTAGTAGTACGTAAGAACGCTACTAGTAGCGAGGCACCTTACTACTAGTAACTATCGCTCGTTGCGGACGCTCACCGTGAAACGGTGTCCGCTTTGTGCGAGACACACAGGTCTATGCACATCACAAAAGGACCCCAAACATGCACACCAATCAGGCCACAAGGGGGACCTGC